TGAATGATGTTATTAGGGATATTGAGGGGAGTGCATAAACAAAGAGAATAAGGGTAGGTCATGGAAGTAAAAAGAAAAAATAAAGTCTGTAACTTAAATGTAAACATAGCCGTAGCTAATAATGAAATATGTAACAGTGGACTAGAATGGGAGTGTCTTAAACAGAATATGACCGGAACAATCATGGTCGTGGTCATGGTAAAAATAATGACCAGAGCTAATCGTGGCTGTAGCCATAGTAAAAGATGATGAGCGGAGTCATAATGGCCGGAGCCGTAATAAAACATGATGACCGGAGCTGAGATAGAGTATGTGACATATAGTCACAGTAACCAGAACCGAAGTAAAACATGTCTCTGTGGCCGGAGCCGAAGTAAAACACTATGCCAGCTAAAAAGTGTAATTGTATAAGTAAACAGAAGTGTTGGGCTAGGCTTAAGTATAAAGACAGGAGTTAGAATGGCCGGAGCCATAATAAAATATGACCGGAGTCATAATGGCCGAAGCCGAAATAAAATGTGTGATACAAGATCACTGTGGCCGAAGTCGATATGAAATGTAATGTAGCATTATTGTGGCCGGAGTCGAAGTGAAACACTTGCAAAAATTGAGAAAAGTAAATGAAGGTGTTGAAATGGGCGTGAATGAGTGCGTCTGAAAAATCTGACACGGGGGTAGCACGTGGCGTGACAGTTGTCCTTGGAATGACGTGCGCAATAAATGCGGCCGTAAAAAGATAACTGCGACAGTTAAACGGGCGAGTTTAAAAACGAACCGTCAAGTTCCAAACGGTACCGTTTGGGATTGTCCGTTGAATTCCAAACGGTGTCAACAGGGACCATAAGATTAAATGAATCTCAGCCGTTGAGATCTAATTTTGCCCAGAAGTATAAATAGGCATTTTTTCTGCAGAAAAAGGTTTACTTGCATTTCTTTTCCTGCAAAACTTCTGCGAGAAGCTTTACTGTGTGTTTCTTGTGCGTGAACTACAGCATCAACTGGGGAACTCTAAATCAAGTCTTTCGAAACCGAAATCAGGTAATGTAGACGAAACTCTGAGTTTAAGTTAATCGATGTGTTTTTCTCCTTTCTCCCTTTCTGTGATTGATTTAGAGTCCTCTGAAGGAAGTTAGGGTTAGAGATGAGAAGGGTTTTGAATGTGTAATGGAGGGTTTTTTTTTTTTCTTTTTTGAATGGGTCCTGACTTCATTCCTCCCCCCTACTTTGTGCAGAGTTTGAGAAAATGTCTTCAGAAAGGACAGGAAGTGTAGTAGGGAGTGAGGTGATGCCCCTGGACTATGGGAGCATGGACTCAGAGAGTAGTCCATCTCCATCTAGTTCGGAGAAGACGGTCGAGGGGGTGAGAGGAGATGAGGTGGTGGAGGTTGGGGGGGAGGTTAGGGAAAATGAGGTGGTAGGGGTTGAGGGAGATAGCATACCCATTACCGTAGTAGAAGTAGAGGGTAGAGGAGAGGGAGAGTATGATGTGAATACGGAGATAGTGGAGGAGGTGAAGCAGTACAGGTCTGAGCTAAGGACCAGGGATAGCCTGGGTCACTTGGTAGAGAATTATGAGATCTCTTCCCGAGTGTTAGTTAGGCCAGCTGGGGTAGAGGAGAGGGCGTGCTCTGCTCCTCGGGATCACTGGATGCCTGTGTATTCCCACTATTTGATAGCGGGACTCAGGTTTCCACTTCCTGAGTTGCTAATAGGTTTATTGTTAGATTACAATATAGGGTTGACATAATTGGTCCCCAATGCAATGAGGGTAATAATAGGTTTTTTAGTTTATTGCCGAGCTCAGGGGATTAGTGTACCAACCGTAAATATGTTTAAGTATTTTTTTGTTTTGAAGGGGGGAAGTAGGAGGGATAAGGGGTGATATTATTTCACCCCTAGGGTAGCTAAGAAGGAAAAATTCTTTTTTGTGGATGATACGGAGTAGGGGAAGGGGGATGCCAAGGTGAGGGCGTTAGCTTCCTGGAAGGCCAAAAGGGCCAACCAGAATAGGTTTAGCTTAAATGGGGATGAGGAGGAAGAAGTGAGGAAGTTGGTGAGGAAGAGGGGAGATGAATTGAATATCATGGACCTCACCAGTGCAGCATGCATAGAAGCTGCTGAGCTCTATGGGCCAAGCACTCTAAGTGAAGGTTTGTTTAACATGCACTGTAGCGTTAAATGTAGAATATAAAATTGTGACTAATATTGTGTTTCTTACTTTGCAGCTGAAATGGACCAGTTTCTAAACACTGCTGGAGGAGCGCCCATCCCCAAGAAGCCAAGGAAGAAGTCAAAGACTTCAACCAAGAAAGTGGATGAGGGGAAGACTGGGAAAGAGGTGGTGCCCTTGGCTTCAGCTGAGACGGAGGAGGATGTGCCAGCGCTGAAGAGGAAGGGTTGGGAGGAGAGGAGGGCACTGCAGAAGAAGCAGAAGGTGGAGGAGGAGGAAGAGGGGAATGGGGTTCCTGAGTTCGTACCTCAGCCTCCTCCTGTTGAGTTGAACCCTGAGCTCAGACGGTTGGAGGAGGGGGCTGAGGTACGGGCTCCTGGTAAGGGAAAGGGCCCTGTTTCCCTGGTGGTGCCTCAGAGCAGCCTGTTTGAGGCAAAGAACATAATGGGGGCTAGGTGGTTCATCAATAGCACCTTCCCCGAAGTGGACAAGCGCAACGCGCGGGAGGAAGCTCTGAGGTACGGGGGAGCATCTGTTGTGAAGCATGTTCTTGAGGTACGTTAAATTAGTGCTGCTGTTTATTTATTTTGTTTCTTCTTCTCTTCTTTCTCTTTGAACTTCTGCTTTGATTTTGCAGAGCGCGACCTGGGTGAATGGTCTAGCCCAGGAGTTCAGGGAGAGTATAAAGGAGCGCGCACTCTTGCAGAAGCAGTGTGACCAGCTGTAGAAGGAGAAGGAGGTGCTGGAGAAGAAAAATAAAGATCTGCAAGAGTCGCTGGACGAGGTGGTTCCAACTTTGAAGCAGTTGGAACAGGAGAGGTCTTCCCTGAGCACCAAGCTCGGCTTTGAAGAGAGCAAACGAAAGATCTCTGAAAGCGAGCGTGAGGCTCAGGCGCAAGAACTGAAGCTGACGAAGGAGGCTTTTTTGGAGCTGAAGGGGAACGTGCAGACCTTGGTGCACAATGGGATGAAGGAGCACATCAGCAACTTCATCAGTTCTATCTCGTTTGACAACATCGTCAACCTATACCGGCTGCCTACTGCCATCATCGCGTTCACGGACTGCAGGAAGAGGGTGAAGGCAGAATATCCCGAAGTGGATATTACAAAGATCACCTTCGGAGAGCAAGAAGGGGGAGTGGAGGAAGATGGGGAGAGCATGTCAGTAGACTTCCGTCCTCAGATCAAACTGAGGTGGGAGGATGATGCAAATGGACGTGCTGTTTTCCCTCCACAGTTCGACTTCGAGTTCGTGGCAGTGGAGGAAGAAGGGGCAGAGGTAGAGGGAGACGAGGTACAGGCAAGAGTGGAGGGAGCTGAAGTGGATGAGAGCCAACCAGTTCCAGAAGTGGAGATTCATCCAGTTCCCTCCGACGATGAGCAGCCTCCTTTGCCAGACGAGCAGCAGTCAAGACAGCCACCTCTTCCAACTGAAGAGGAGCCAGTGGAGCCACCTCCTCCAGCAGAAAACTAATTTTGTTTTGTTTGTGTTTTTTATTATTATTATTATTTTTTGTAAAGACATTTAAACAGCTTGTAATAGTTATTTTAGTTGAAATGAGAATGTATATTTGAAATCATGTGTTTGTTTATATTTGCTTTACATTTTTGGTATTATTTTTTATTAATAAAAGAACTGTGATTGCGTGAAACGTGATTTGGATGAAAGGCAACCATTTCAGAAATGAACTAAGGGGAAGTAAGTCATTTCAGATGAAGTAAGAAGAAGTAAATAACTTCCATGTAGATTAGAAATGAGTATGTCACTGTGAACGAACTTAAAAGGAAATAAAGTACTTCACATGTGAAGTGACTTTTATTAATCAGAAGTGAGATTGAAGTACTGATTGACCTCGGATACATGGAATAAGAGACAAAATGAATCTCAGTAATCACTAAATAAGAACTGTAAGATAGATTTCTTGAAAGAATTGTATTAAGGGTAAAATTTCTTCAAGTTATTGACATTCCAGACTCTAGGAACTCTCTTTCCTTCAGCGTCTTGGAGGAGATAGGCGCCAGGATGTGGCACCTCGGCCACGGTATAAGGGCCTTCCCAATTCGGGGCGAGTTTGCCAAAATGAGTTTCAAACCCTGTTAGGCCAGCTTTTTTGAGAACAAGGTCTCCTACTTTGAAAGTTCGAGGGCGGATCCGTTTATTGTAGAAGTTGGCTAGTTTCTGCTTGTATACAAGAGTTCGAAGCCGAGCTTCTTCTCTGACTTCAGCAAGCAGATCAAGGTTTTCCCGAAGCAGTTGTCCATTTCGTCCTTCATCGAAATGGGTGACTCGAAAGCTTGGGACTCCTATTTCAACAGGAATGACTGCTTCGGTACCAAAGGCCAGGTGGTAGGGTGTTTCACCTATTTCAGTTAATTATAACTTTAGAATGCGCTTTATGCATTATGCATATTTGCTCTAAGGTAAAGCGTAACAGAAGAAGTAAAATACTATAGAAATTAATCAAATAAGCTTGGGTTAAAGTAGTACCTGTGGCAGTTCGGCTCGTGGTTCTGTATGCCCAGAGGACGTTGTTGAGCTCGTCTGCCCACTTGGCCTTATGTTGCTCCAATCTCGGCCTTATACCTTCCAAAATGCATTTGTTAACAGATTCCACCATGCCATTGGACTCTGGGTGGTAAACGGAGGTGAACTGTAACTTGATCCCATAACTGGAACAGAAATCTCGGAATGAGGAACAATTGAATTGAGTTCCATTATCAGTCACAATTTGATTCGGGATTCCATATCTGCAGATGATCGAGCTAAAAACAAAATCTTCGACCTTCTTGGATGTAAGACTGGATAAAGGTCGAGCTTCAACCCACTTTATGAAATAATCCACACCAACAACCAAATGGGTCACACCACCAACCCCTTTCACGAATGGACCTAAAAGATCTAGTCCCCACTGTGCAAATGGCCATGGTGCTACCAAGTTCGTGAGTTCTTTTGCAGGTTGGTGAGTCAGATGTGCAAAGAATTGGCACCTCGGACATTTTTGAACGAAGTGAGTGGCATCCTTATACATGTTTGGCCAGTAATATCCCTACCGTAAGACTTTGTGAGCCAGAGTTCTAGCACCGATGTGGCTTCCACAGACACCTTCATGTACCTCTCGAAGTGCATACTCGGCTTCGTAGGGATTCAAACATCGCAGAAGAGGAAGTGAAAAAGATCTCTTATAGAGGACCCCATCAACAAGTGTATACCGAGATGCTCTCTTCCTCAACTTCATTACCTCCTGCCTGTCCTCAGGTACTATTCCATCTCGCAAAAAAGAGATAATTGAGTCAGTCCAGCTCGGTGTATCAGGGTTTGTGCTAATCTCCATCAACCGAGGCTTCATGAAGCTTGGTTCATCTAAGATCTCTACAAAAACTGATCTGGAACTTAAAGAGCTATCAGAAGCAAACTTGGAGAGTGAATCTACCTGTTCATTCTCAGCTCGAGGAATTTTACTCAGACAGAATTTCTGGAATTTGCATTTCAGCTCAGCCACCAAGGCTACATACTTTATCATCACAGGATCGACAACTTCACAGATTGAGTTAATTTGGTTTACCACCAACTGGGAGTCACTATATATTTGAATTGCACTGATTTTCAACTCCAATGCTAGCTGTAGACCAAGTAGCAGAGCTTCATACTCAGCCATGTTATTTGTTGCATCAAAGTTGAACTTCAGGGCATGTTCGCTTCGGTATCCCCCTGGACCAATCAAAAGAGCGCCAGCCCCTGAACCCTTGCTACTAGATGCTCCGTCAACATATAAGGTCCAGTTGCTGGGCTCTGGATTAGAGTTTGAAGGACATGGGGTGCATTCAACAATAAAATCTGCTAATGCTTGAGCTCGGATGGTCGATCTCTGCTGAAATGTTATCTCAAACTCTCCCAGTTCTACTGCCCACTTAATTAGTCTTCCAGAGCACTCTGGTTTCTGTAGAATCTGCCTGAGAGGTTGATCGGTGAGAACGATAATTGGGTGTGATTGGAAATATGGTCTCAACTTCCTGGCTGAAGTGACGATTGCTAATGCTGCTTTCTCAGTTATAGGATACCTTAGCTCTGCTCCGTACAGCACGCTGCTGATATAATAAATTGGTTTCTGCTGCCGAGCTTCTTATCTCACTAGAACTGAACTAATGGCCTCATCTGAAATCCCCAGGTACAAGTAAAGAAGTTCTCCATCTACAGCTTTAGTCAACAGAGGGGGTGAGCTAAGATAAGACTTCA